GAAGAGCGTGGCCTGAAAGCACAGCTGGAGCTCCTTTAGGAGGCCATGGGGCTCCAGCCAAATAATAATGAAGCACCAGACCTGAAGGCCATGTGTCTTGCTGCTCTCACCTGGTAGGTTCATTGCCCCGTTAACCCAGTGTAACATTCCTCAGGCTGGCAAAGGATGAATGTTTACAGGATCAAGCTCCATTATCACAAAACTGAACCCCCAAAAACCCTGTTTGGAACTGGAAGACAATAAGTTGATAATTGACACAATCAAAAGCCCAAAGTTTGTTTTTTGGTAAGATTAACAAAGTCTGTAAGCATCTGGCAAGACTAAGGAAAAAGAGAAAACAATAATCATCAATATCAGAAATGAAAAGGAGGACATTACTACAGATCTACAGACAGAAAAACATAGAGGGGCAGCATGAACAATTTTAGACCATTTTAGATGATGTGGGCACCTTCCTTTCAAACTGAATCAAATTAAAAATTTCCCACATACTTTCAAACATTTAAGGAAGTGGCGGTACCAGCTTACACAATCATTAAAGGTTTTAAGAGACCACATAACTAGTAGTGAACTCACGAATGCATTACAAGAAAGAAAATTTGTGTCAGTCTCTCATGATTAAGATATAAAAATCTTAATTAAACAGCAGATACCATTTAGTAACTTGTAAAAAGAATAATACTTAAAACCCAAGTGGATTGTATTCCAAGATGGCATGGGTGGTTTTTACTATTCAAAATTCAATGTAATTCATCACATTGATGTTAAAGAAAAATCTCATGGTTATTTTCATAGGTACAGAAAAAGCACTTGAGAAACCACAGTATCAATTTGTGATGTAGGAAAAAAGGGAACTCTTACAAAACCATTAATAGAAAGGGCATATTAGCAATACTGACTATTTAGCAAAAAAACAGCAGTTCCTAATGGTGAATTATTGACAGCTTTCCCCTTAAGAGTGGGAGTAAGATAAGGTTATTCACCATTGTTCACCATTGTTCTTGAGGAAATAACCAGAACAAATAAGGCAAAAAAGAAAGAAATGAAAGTATAAGGGTTGGAAAGGAATAAATAATTTTCTGTAGGTGACAATATCAAGTATATAGAAAGTCCCAGATAATCTGCAGTGTAATACAGAGTCTAAGGTTGCTAGGTAAGAAGTATTCAGAAGTTTGTTTACCAGCCAAAAAACAAAAACCAACCATGAGATTCAAAAATTTTTATACATAATAACATCAAAAAAGCAAGTGTTTTGGCGTAAATAAAATATGCAAAGACCTCAACACACTAAAAACTATAAAACATTGTGGAGTGAAATTTCAAATCTGAATAAATAGGTATACCAGGTTCAGGAGTTGGTAGGCTGAATATTATAAAATGTCGTTTTTTTCTCCAAAGTAATTAAATATAATTCCAGGTGAAAAAAAAATCCCAGCAGGTATGTGTGTATGTTAATAGGCTTAATTTAAACTTTATGTGGAAAGTCAGAAGACCAAAGATAGTTAAGACAAAGAACAACAAATCAAGAGGACTCATACTACTAAATATCAGTACTTAAAAAGCTGTAGTGAAAGTGTGGTATTAATGAAAAAATAGTCTAGTGAAATAGAATAGAGAAGCCAGAAACAAATCCCTGCTTTTTATACATATGGTCAGCTGATTTATGATGAAGGTGTAGTAGGAAAATGATCATCTTTCTAAAAATGATGGTTCAGCTAATACCTGTATGAACAAAATGAACGTTAACTTCTCCCTCTTACATGAAGCAAAAAATCAATTGCAGATGGATTTTAAGCCTAAATGAGAAAGGCAAAAACAAAATTAAAACAAGAATAGTTTCATAACCTTTAATTTAGGTGGGTTTTTTTTAACAAGATGCAAAAGTATTGATACATTAGATCAAAATGGAAAAATTATCTAAAATGAATAAGATATAGCAAATGTTGGTAAGATGTAGGGCAGTTGGAACTCCTGTACGTACTGTTGGGTGTGAGAATTGTTGATCATTTTTGAAAGTTATTAGACTGTATTGAGTAAAGGTGAACATCAGTGCCCACCCCTATGACCCCGCAGTTCTACTCCTATAGGTATATTTTCAACAGAAATGGGTGCAGTCTCATGGGTTGAGGAATAGAGGTGATAAGAAAAGGAGATGAGGAAGAACTGAAAAAGTGATATGAAAGGTGAACCATGTTTGGGAGGGGAGATGATACATTCTTATTCGGATGTTTATATGTTGTTATAGTGGGGCTTCCTGGTGGGGAAAAATAGAGATAATGAATGGGGATAGATATGTCTAATATTAACCTGTCAGTACAGAATTTCAAATCTTGATTTTTATTTATTTAAAAAATTTTTTTAATTAATTTATTTTTTGGCTGCGTTGGGTCTTTGTTGCTGCGCATGGGCGTTTTCTAGATGCGGCGAGCGGAGGCTACTCTTCTTTGCGGTGCGCAGGCTTTTCATTGTGGCTTCTCTTGTTGCGGAGCACAGGCTCTAGGCTCGCGGGCTTCAGTAGTTGTGGCGCACGGGCTTAGTTGCTCCGCAGCATGTGAGATCTTCCCTGCCCAGAGCTCGAACCCGTGTTCCCTGCACTGGCAGGCGGATTCTTAACCACTGCGTCGCCAGGGAAGCCCGAGTCTCAATTTTTAAAAGCTTTATTTACTCTATTGAAGTGTATACTTGATTTACAATGTTATGTTAGTTTCAAGTATACAGCATAGTGATTTGGTTATATGTATATATGTATGTCCATAATTCTTTTTTTATTCTTTTCCATCATAGTTTATTATAAGATATTGAAATAGTTCCCTGTGCTGTACAGTAAATCCTTGTTGTTCGTTTTATATATAGTAGTATGCATCTGTTAATCCCATACTCTCAATTTATGCCTCCCCACCCCCCTTCCCCTTTGGTAACCTTAAATTTGTTTTCAAAGTCTGTGAGTCTGTTTCTGTTTTGTAATAAGTTTGTACTATTTTTTAGGTTCCACATTTAAATGATATATAATGTTTGTCTTTGTCTGACTTACTTCACTTAGTATCATAATCTCTAAATCCATCCATATTGCTGCTGATGGTACTATTTCATTCTTTTATGGCTGAGTAATATTCCATTGTATGTATTGATGTATACACCACATCTTCTTTATCCATTATTCTGTCGATGAACATTTAGGTTACTTCCATGTCTTGGCTGTTGTAAATAGTGCTGCACATGTGGGGTGCATGTATCGTTTTTCCCCCCTCACCCCTTGCTGTGCCATGTGGCATGTGGGATCTTTGTTCCCTGACCAGGGATCAAACTCATGCACCCTACATTGGGAACACAGAGTCTTAACCACTGGACTGCCAGGGAAGCCCCAGGTGCATATATCTTTTTGTTTTTTAATTTATTTTATTTATTTATCTTTGGCTGCGTTGGGTCTTCGTTGCTGCGTGCGGGCTTTCTCTAGTTGCGGCGAGCGGGGGCTACTCTGCGGTGTGCGGGCTTCTCATTGCGGTGGCTTCTCTTGTTGCCGAGCGCAGGCTGTAGGCGTGCAGGCTTCAGTAGTTGTGGCATGTGGGCTCAGTAGTTGTGGTGCACGGGCTTAGTTGCTCCATGGCATGTGGGATCTTCCCTGACCGGGGCTCAAACCCGTGTCCCCAGCATTGGCAGGTGGATTCTTAACCACTGAGCCACCAGGGAAGCCCTATCTTTATGAATTATAGGTTTCTCCAGATATATGCCCAGGAGTGGTGTTGCTGGATCATATGGTAACTCTATTTTTAGTTTTTTAAGGAACCTCGTACTGTTTTTCACAGTGCTTCCACCAATTTACATTCCCAGCAGCAGTGTAGGAGGGTTTGCTCTTCTCCACACCCTCTCCAGCATTTATTATTTGTAGACTTTTTGTTTGTTTGTTTGTTTGTTTTTGTTTTTGTTTTGCTTTTTGCGGTACGCGGGCCTCTCACTGTTGTGGCCTCTCCCGTTGCGGAGCACAGGCTTGGGACGCGCAGTCTCAGCCGCCATGGCTCACGGGCCCAGCCGCTCCGCAGCATGTGGGATCTTCCCGGACCGGGGCACGAACCCGTGTCCCCTGCATTGGCAGGCAGACTCTCAACCACTGCGCCACCAGGGAAGCCCTATTTGTAGACTTTTTGATGATGGCCATTCTGACCGGCGTGAGGTCATGCCTCATTGTCATTTTGATTTGCATTTCTCTGATAATTAGTGATGATGAGTATCTTTTCATGTACCTGTTGGCCATCTGTATGTCTTCTTTGGGAAAATGTATATTTAGATCTTCTGCCCAAGTTTTGATTGGGTCGTTTTTTTGTTACGGAGTTGTATGCGCTGTTTGTATATTTTGGAAATTAAACCCTTGGCAGTTGTATCCTTTGCAAATATTTTCTCACATTCCATAGGTTGTCTTTTTGTTTTCTTTGCTGTGCAAAAGCTTGTGAGTTTGATTAGATCCCATTTCCCGTTTGTTTATTTTTGCTTTTTTTTTTCCCTTGCCTTGAGAGACTGACCTAAGAAAACATTGCTACAATTTATGTCAGTGTTTTGCTTGTGTTCTCTTCTAGGTGTCTCATGGTGTCATATCTTACATTTAAGTCTTTAAGCCATTTTGAGTTTATTTTTGTGTGTGGTGTGAGGGAATGTTCTAACTTGATTGATTTACACGCGACTGTCCAGCTTTCCCAACACCACTTGCTGAAGAGACTGTCTTTTCTCCATTGTATATTCTTGACTCCTTTGTCAAAGATGAATTGACTATAGGTGTGTGAGTTTATTTCTGGGCTTTCTATTCTGTTCCATTGATCTATATGTCTGTTTTTGTGCCAGTAGCACACTGTTTTGATTGCCGTAGCCTTGTAGTATTTTCTGAAGTCCAGAAGGGTTATGCCTCCAGCTTTTTTCTTTTTTTTTTTTTTTCAGGATTGCTTTGGCAATTCTGGGTCTTTCGTGGTTCCATATAAATTTTAGGATTATTTGTTCTAGTTCTGTGAAAAACATCATGGGTAATTTGATAGGGATCACATTAAGTCTATTTTAAATTTAAGCTGTTACACTGACTGTATCTTGTGTGTGCAGACAGTTCCTGGCACAGTGGGTACTTAACTCATTAACAAATGATTATTCAATTGTGGCCATAGTCATGTTTATCTCAGTAAGTCCTGTTGATTTGCTTTTTTTTTTTTTTTGATTTGCTTTTTTACTGACACTTTATTGTGGGAAAAGTGAAAGTCTTAATTGTGGGACAGAAGCTATTTTGAATTATACTTGCTGGTAATGGTTGCATACTTCTATAAAGCAAACAGCTGCATTCTGGTTTGCATTGAAGCTTGTAAGTTTGTTGGTTGGGGTGAAATTCAGAGAGCCTGTGGTTTTCCCAGTAGCTGGTCTGCAACACACTTCCTCAACAGAGGACCCAAAGTGTTAGTATTGTCCGTCTTATTCCTAGATGGTCCTGTCTCTGTTCTATGAACTTATCTACATCCTTAGAGAAAATTGCCATTACTTTAGGTTTTCTTAACTGCCTTTTGGAGGTCCCTCCCCCCCGTGTTCACATGATCAGTACCAGGTTGTTTATTCTTTCTCTGTTTGTCAAAGATTTAATCTTTATCTTTTTTTTTCTTGAATTGATTTTATAATTTACTTTTTTTTAAGGCTTACAATAACAGCACTAGGAGATAAGCTCAATGATTACTGGAATGAAATGAAAGTGAAGAAAAATGCAGAATATCCTCTGACTTTTCTGGTTGAAGATATACAGTAAGTACATTTAAAAAATAATAAGTGACTATAGTATCAAGATGTGATATTGGAGGGCATGGTGATTCTACAGTGTTCATAAACTTTTGAATCTAATCCATAGTAAGAAATAAATCCCACAACTCGAAAGCCTTTTATAAACTAAAAGAATATATACATTTAAGTTATTCAGAGATGTGCTATATATAATAGAGGGTAAAATGTAATACAGTTATAAAAATTGCTTAAATTACAGTAATACAACTTGCCTATTTTCTGTACTTTGAATGGTTTATTGTGCTAATAAGTATATTAGATTTGACACTGCAGACGCTAACTTAACATAAATTTCAGGGCAAGACATTTTCTAAGTTTTTTAGTTTTTATTATAGAAAAAATGTAATAGTATGCTATTAAACAAGACTAAGTCACTTTGTTTAAATTGGTTTGTCACTTTTAACCTTCAGTAGTAGCCAAAATTGTTGTTTTTAAAATCTTAACTCACTGTCAAATGTTCCGGAATTTTCAGGGACAAAATTAAATAATGGGGCATTTTGTGGTAGAAATGATGTGGAAAGTCTAGTGAAGTACTTAGATCCATATTTCCATGCTAATATTTAGTTGCTATTTTGTTACAGGAAACGTCCTGATCAGACATGGGTTCAATGTGACACCTGTCTAAAGTGGCGAAAATTACCAGATGGGATAGATCAACTTCCAGAAAAATGGTATTGCTCCAATAACCCTGACCCACAGTTCAGGTACCATATAGTTGGTAGTAGCCTTTTTGGAAAGGCAGAAAGTACTGTTCAAGGTGTATGAATAGGCGCTGGTGACGTGTTATTCCCATGTGATTTTTCTGACTAGAAATTGTGATGTTCCAGAAGAACCTGAAGATGAAGATTTGGTGCATCCCACTTACGAAAAAACCTACAAAAAGAAGTGAGTGTTATATTAGTGTATGGTGGGAATATAATACCCAGATCATCAACAGTGGTGTGTCTGCAGCATTAGCTGATACTTCTCCAAGATAAAGCAGTATAGCCAAAAAAGATTAGGACTCCACAAAAAAAGATACGATGTGGAGTGCATAATATCAAGTGCTTTTAAAGTTTATACTGTGAGTACCTGCTGTTTATTGCTGTCCTCTCTACAAGATACTTTGAATATACAGTATAGTTTTGTTCTTTTGGACTACACACCAGTGAATCAAAAGTGAATACTGCCCTTATACGAGCTCGTGGTCTAACGGGGAAAGTGAGATGTGTGTATTACCAATTTGAAGTTGACGACTCCCGTAAAAGGCATGATCCAGTCCCGTGAGGAACCCCATAAGGAGAAATTACTTCTGGTTGGGGATGGGGAAATGGGTCAGGAAAATTCATGAAGGGCATTTTTGTAATAGGGCTTGAAGGAAAGGTAGGATTTGTTGGGTAGGAAGCAATGGTTTGTTCAGCTTAACTACAGTAAATATATGAATGGGGATAATGGAAAATATAGGTGGGAGAGAGAAGCTGGGGAACGATAGTGAACCATGGTGAACATTAGGCTTATGTACTGCACACGGAAGGCTGAGTTGATGGAGATCTTCTGGGTGGTTTTGATTTATAGTGCACTGTTCTTAAAGATAAATCCAGTAGCAGGAGTGGAAGACATTAGGGTGTTGCTGAGATAAGAGGTGGAAAGTACTTCCCTGCCTGAGGCCTTACCACTGACTATAATGAAATTGAAGCACAGTTCACTGTACCTATCTTATTGACTTAGTAGTAAAATGGCAAGTATGTCATTCGAAAACAGAATTGAAAACTCATAATGAAGTAAATTTAAATACATTTTTCTTTTCTCCTCTTTTTTTTTTTTTTTTAAAGAGACAAGGAAAAATTCAGGATCAGACAACCGGAAGCAATCCCTCGGGTAATTAGGCCTTCCATTTTATAGCTGTGTCTTGTATTGTGTTGTGATTAATTTAATACTCAATTTTTTTTTTTCGGTACGTGGGAGCTTAGGAGTTACATAACAAATTGAAGCAGTCTGGTTCATTCAGTTCACATTTCTCTTCTCTTCTTGTACCCCTTCTTACCCTCTTTCCCCATACTGACTTCTAACCCACAACTTCACTCAAACTTCTCAATTTTATTATTCAGGTGGGCATCTTCTGAGGAAAGGCAGATATTCTTTTTTTTTTTTTTTTAAGTTTTGTTCCCCAACAATTAAAAAAATGTAAAACTCATTCTTACCTTATGGTCCATAGCGAAACAGAGGCCAGCTGGATTACCCACCTCTGGTGCAGGAGGTAGAGGGGAGGGTTGCTGGAGAAATGTCCTCGCCGGGGCACGAACCCGTATCCCCTGCATCGGCAGGCGGACTCTCAACCACTGCGCCACCAGGGAAGCCCAGATATTCTTTTAAGAATCTTATTGTTGGGCTTCCCTGGTGGCGCAGTGGTTGAGAGTCCACCTGCTGATGCAGGGGACACGGGTTCGTGCCCTGGTCTGGGAGGATCCCACATGCCGTGGAGCGGCTGGGCCCATGGGCCGTGGCCACTGAGCCTGCGTGTCCGGAGCCTGTGCTCCGCCACAGGAGAGGCCACAACAGTGAGAGGCCCGTGTACCGCATTAAAAAAAAAAAAAAAGAATCTTATTGTTAGGTAGACAGTCAAGGAAAAGTTCATAGGAAGACCCAGGGAGCCACATGGTAGTACTAACCTGGACCAAAGCTGTAGTGTTGACCCTTCAACCATAGTGTACGGTTGATTTACAATATTATATTAGTTTCAGGTGTACAACATAGTGATTCAGATTCTTACAGATAATACTCCAATAAAAGTTATTACAAAATAATGGCTATAATTTCCTGTGCTATACAATATGGCCTTGTTGCATTTATTATTTATTTATGCATTTATTTATTTATGCATCTATTTGTTTATTTATGGCTGTGTTGGGTCTTCGTTGCTGTGCACGGGCTTTCTCTAGTTGCAGTGAGCGGGGGCTACTCTTTGTTGCGGTGTGTTGCCTTCTCATTGCAGTGGCTTCTCCTGTTGCGGAACATGGCCTCTAGGTGCGTGGGCTTCAGTAGTTGCAGCACGTGGGCTCAGTAGTTGTGGCTCGAGGGCTATAGAGCTCAGGTCAGTAGTTGTAGTGCATGGGCTTAGTTGCTCCGCGGCATGTGGGATCTTCCCTGGCCAGGGCTTGAAGCCGTGTCCCCTGCATTGGCAGGCGGATTCTTAATCTCTGCGCCACCAGGGAAGCCCATATCTATTTTATACATAGTAGTTTTTATCTCTTAATCCATACCCCAATCTTCTTTTTAATATATATATTTTATTTTATTTATTTGGTTGGGCCAGGTCTTAGTTGCAGCAGGCGTGCTCCTTAGTTGCGCCTTGCCAGCTCCTTAGTTGTGGTGAAGTCTTAGTTGCAGCATGCCTGTGGGGTCTGGTTCCCTGAACCCAGGTGCCCTGAATCGGGAGCGTGGAATCTTAACCACTGAGCCACAGAGGAGTCCTTCCATACACCCTGTCTTTCTTAATGCTTAATGGTGTTGAGCTTTTTCTGGGTGTATAAATAGGTAGTTGTACTTCTTGTATCAGAAGTTGTGGTCTTCTGCAGTTGTGTATGTGTGCTTATCATTACATTGAAATGTTTTCTTGTATAAAGGCTGAGGGTTTGAGGGTGAGAACAGAACTGGGAGAAAAAGAATAGTGGACTTACTTTGGTTTTTAAAGGCAGTGTCTTTGTGACTTTATCCTCAATTTCTTTCTCTTAGAAAAATAAGTTTTTATTATATCTCTATACATTCTATATAGTCCGAGGTCAGCAAATCTTTCAGTAAAAGGCCAGATAGTAAATATTTTAGGCTTTGTGGACCATATACAGTCTCTGTGGCATATTCTTTCTTTGTTTTGTTCATGTATTTAAACATGTAAAGCCATTCCTAGCTCACGTGCAGGCTGGATTTGGCTCTTTGGCCTGTTGTTGGTCACTTCCTGGTCTGGTGTAGCACAAGGAGTTTATGTGGTTAGGATAGTTCTCAGTGCATCCTGGGATGGGGGAAAGGGGAAAGAATATCTTGTGTTTGGAACATGACACACTTTAAAAATTTCTTTAAGATCAATTTTTTTTTCCTTCAACAGATTCCTGC